CAGTCACATGAAAGCACACAAGCACAATAACAGCACGTGTTGATTTGTCTGCAGCTGTGATGATTTACTAATTCTGGAAGTAATTGAGAACCTTTTACCTGCTCGTGAAAATTCAACGCATCACCTCAAACATAAGCTTCACAAACACAAGCACGTGATGTGTGAACTTTTGCTTCTTGTTGCTGTCTCTAGCTTTCTACAAGTGTCTTTCTGAAAACATGATGATCATTATGGTGACAAATATAAATGAGACGAGAGTCGCTGCTTGGAACCTGCGTGTTTATTTTACTCTGTGGTACACTGAACAACATGGAAAAACAAGCAAAGGCCTTCTTTGGAACCAGGCAACTGATTTCTTCAGTGAAGCATCCGTTTTATAGTTTTATAGGTGAATGAGAATCTGAGAGCCTGGTAAACACTCAGCCAGTGATATGACAGAGAAGAGACTCAGAAGAGGCACAGCACAGATATTTAGATTTCATGTGTTATTCTAACGGTGAAAACGTCTCAAATGAAACTAAATAATATGACATGAAACTTGAGAGTTATGAATAAAAGCTTTGAGATGTGATTTTGAAGAAGTGTTTTCCAAGAGGACTCATTGGAGATATTCCAGTTTTTGAGAGATCAGTGATTTGATGACCTCTCAGATGGAAATGACAAAGTCAAGTTATTCTCCATAATCAACACAACTCTGCACACCTATATGATGTCACACTTTGACCAGAAGAATATCACATAAGAAGAGTTATACTGAAAGTTGTCCCCCTTAAAAGGAATAGTTTCACATTTTTGCAAATATGCTATTTGTTTTAAAGCCATGAGTTTGATGTTTGTTGGAAATAGGCCTACAACCAGCAGCTGGTTAGCTTAGCTTAGCATGAAGACTGCAAAACAAGTGGATACAGCGAACCTGGCTCTGTGTAATGGTAGCAAAAAAATGCCACCTGCAACAAATTTTCTTCTTTGTCTAACTTGTAAAAACAAAAACCTACATGTAAAAACTGATGCTTCTACTTTTTGTTTTTTGTACGAGTTAAACAATCTACAACGTGCTAACCATTTCCCTGTTTCTATTCTGTGTGCAAAGCTAAAACAAGCAGCTACTGGTGGTAGTCTAATATTTACCTCAAAGATATGAGTGTGGTGTCAGTTTTCTCCTCTCTCAGCAAAGAAAAATTAAACGGGAAAAAAATGAAAGTTTTTCCCACTACTATATCCACGAACATTTAGCTGGACAGAGAAACGCCTTCAGATCCTGTAGCTCTTATTGCCTTCAGTTATTCTGCTTACTGATGAAGAAGACTTTGTAGCAACTCTCAGTGACTGAAGAGTTTTAAGAAATAAGTTAGATTCTACAAACAGTAGAACAACAGTCATATCACATCACAAACGCTGTAACTGTCTTAACTAGTTANTTTCTTATCAATTATTTTATCATACATGCCCACCATCACTTCTCTAAAAGTATCAATACAGGTCCCAGGATCTCCGTATATGCAGCCTATCATTAGATCTTTAGAGTTTTCTATTTCTATTTGTACAGTGACACATTCCATCATGTTATCAACTACGAATGACAAGTTCTCAAATTTTTAAAAAAACGTTTGTGCATTTTATCAATATAACAGCCACTCCACCTCCCTTTTTGTGTTTTCTATGTGTAGAAAACATCTCATATTCATCTACGTCAACAGAAGCGGTTTGCTCCTGGTTTAGCCAGGTCTTAGAAATGGCTTTGGCTGTAAATCTGGTTTTCATCTGGTTTAGACACTGTTTTTTTTTTTTGGCATATTAGGAGTCAGGCGTCTACTATTGAAGTGTATGATTGATAATGCTCCCTCAGTCTCCTTTTTATGTTAAATAACTTTTCTGTGTAGTATTCACAGGCATTGTAAATCAATAAAAAAAAAAAATTGTCAGGGTCTACATTGTTTTCAATGCCACGTTGTTTATGGTCAGTAAATTGATATATATATATTTTAAGATACCTTTTTGGCCTTTGTGTCTTTATTGAATAGTGCAGTGAGAGAGAGAGAGAGACAGGAAAGTAGGGGGAGAAGAATGGGGGGAGGACGTGTGGCAAAGGGCCATGAGCAGGATTTGAACTCATGACCTTCACATCAGGACGGTAGCCCTGTACATGGGACGGCAGCTCAACCAGGTGAGCTATAGTGGCACCCAAATTGATACGTTTTTAATCTTAAAGTTTCAAGTTCAGGGTTAAAATCTCCTTGTGATTCACAGTTGTAAACCTGATGTGTATCACTGATCTTGTTGCATGTCATGTATTGGTGATGCATGTATTGTTGCTGCCATGTCTTCCTCCTCACTGATCTCCTTTGACCTTGTCCAGTTGTGTGTTCTGTGATGAGAGTGACAAAGAAGGCCACTGTTGAATGAAGCCCCTGTTAAGTCTCAATTAGAGTTCACTGG